CAAAATCTCCATTCCCACCCCACTCCAGGGGAAGGATACTGCAAAATCTCCATTCCCTCCCCACCCCACTAACCTGCTTTCCAGCTCCATTCTCCTATGCAGGGCAACAAAAGACGACTCAGCCAATCAGTTGGGATCCGGGAGGCAGAGAATAGATGGGGGCGGGGCCAGTCAGAAGTGGTATTTGCCAGTTCTCCAAACTACTCAAAATTTCCGCTACGGGTTCTCCAGAACTGGTCAGAACCTGCTGAATACCACCTCCGAATGTAGCTTCTTGTTAGTTGCAAAACAAGTTAAAATAACAAAAAGACCATATTTCTGAATACAGGTAGTCCTCGACTTCCAACAGTTTGCTTAGTGACTGTTCAAAGTTACAATTGCCCCGAAGAATGTGATTTATGACCATTTTTCACAGATAATGACCTTTGCAAGCATCCCCATTATCATGGGATCAAAATTCAGATGTTTGGTAACCGGTTCATATTTATGTTGTGTTCCAAGGTCATGTGATCACGTTTTGCAACCTTCTCAAAAGCAGAGTCAATGGAGAAGCCAGATTCACTAAACCGGGTTACTAACTTATCAACTGTGGTGATTCACTTAACAATGTGGCAAGAAAGGTTGTAAAATGGGGCAAAAGTCACTTAACTAATGTCTCACTTAACAGCAGAAATTTTGGGGCCAATTGTGGTCGTAAGTCAAGGATTATTGGTAGAAGCCAAATTAGATTCTTCTTTAAATTGCATTTTAGATTTTGGACACACCCTACTTGCTTGATCACAAGTGGAAGCACTATCTGTCTGGCGTCATTTTGAAAAACCCAGATATTGACTTGACATTTGAAAAGGTTTACAGGTAAATTTTCACTCTTTCCTGCTTCTGTTGATTAATCGTTTGGCTGAGATTGCACGTATAGCTTCAATCATCTGAAAATGATTGAAATATCTCCCAATTTGTGTCCTGCACTCTGCATCACCCGCTTCTTCATAACTCCATAACTGGAACAGATAGAAACCGCCTCCTCTTATTGATTGCGGTGGTGGAGGGTGTTTTTCCCCTTTGTCCATTTCCATAGCAATAAAGGTGTCCAAATGGATGACTGACCTTATCCCTTTTTTCAGACTAATTGGCTGACTTCTGTCCTTTAGCTAGAACTGGCTCTTAAATAGGGCTTACTTTCGTCTGCCCATTCTGTCTAGTTGCTGCCGTAGGAGGTTTTCATGGTTATGAAGTGAGGTGGTGGGAGGGTGAAGGACAACATGAGGTGAGGTGGAGGATGAAATGTGTCAGTGAGGGGTGGAGGACAAACCTTCTCCTTGCTCACTGCCGCCACAGAGCAGAAGGCGGAGTGAAGCACCGGTGCCTGTCAATCAAGGCTGCGTGTGGGGGGATTAGGGGGTGGAGAGTGAAATGAGGTCGGGGGGGTGGAGGATGAAGCCCCAACAGTATCCTTGGCTGCCCAGCCTGCAGAGTCTTGATATTGGCAGCCGGAGCAGCCCCTTCCCCGTCTCACCCTTGCCACCTGCTTTCCAGCTCTCGCCCACCTCCCGTGACTTTCCCAAAGCATCCCCCCCGCTTTTTTTAACCGGTAGTCCCACAGTCTTTTTTTGTTGCCCTGACATGGTAGTGGAGAACAGATCTGGTAAGCAGGTTAGTGAAGGGATGCTTTGGGGAAGCAAGTGGAACTGGGCAGGAGCTGGAAAGCAGGGGCAAGGCAGCCCCCCCCCAGGGCTCCAGGTAACTGGTGGTGGAACGTGAATGGAGGCAGGAGGCATTGCGCTGGCCGCCACCACTGGCTGAGATGGTGAAGAGGCTGCTCTGGTTGCCGCCACCTCACTCTGCCAGCATCAGAGCTCTGCAGCAGTGGTGGAATTCAAATAAAGTTGCCACCAGTTTGGTGGGCGTGGCTTGGTTGCCACGCTTCGCATGCATGCACACTTTGCGTGCACACGTGCACTAAACACGCATTTCGCACAGGCGCAGAGGTGTTCTAACTTGCCTCCTGCAAGCCTGCACAATGCTGGTTGCTGCAGCAGCTGCCGCTCGGCGCTATTCTGTGCTGCGCAAAGCAGGTGGGCTTTGAATATTGGACATAAAAGTGAGTATGGGAGCCCAGGCGAGTGGGTGGGCCAAACACAGAGCAGTGAAGAGAACCAGTTCGGTCTCCACTGCTCATCACTGCTACCGGCTCTCCAGAACCGGGCAGAACTGGTCGAATACCACCACTGCTCTGCAAGCTGGGCAGTCAGGGATACTGTTGGGGCTTCATCCTCCAACCCCACTGCCTTGCTTAGTGGCTGCAGCACCGATGCCTCGCTCAGCCTTCTGCTCTGTTGTGGCAGCAAGCAAGGAGAAGCTTTGTTCTCCACCACCCCCCGCACTGCCTCATTTCATCCTCCACCTCTTGCTCCATTGCCACCATGAAAAAAATAAGACCCATCCCAAAAATAAGACCTGGTGCTTATTCTGGTGATCCAAAAATATAAAACTGGGTTATTTTCAAGGGAAACACAGGTAGAAAGACATAGAAAACTACATAACCAGCTGCCCAGTATGCATGTCCATGAAGTGATTGTCAGGGAAGACTCCTGGGTTGCTCCAGCCTGTGGTCAACCTCGCCAGACCATGAGGAGAAATTGCCATGGATTTTATAGTAGAATTGTCTAAGAGTAATGGGAGTACTGTGAGTCACCTGTCACCTGTTTTTGAAGCAAGCACACTTCGTCGCATGTCCGAAGCTTCCCTCAGCCTAGAGTCTGGCCAAGATGTTTGTGCAGCACATCTATCAGCTGCATGGAACCCCAAGGCATATCATTTCAGATTGGGAAGTGCAGTTTACAGCAAAGTTTTGGCAGGAGTTCATAAAGTGAATAGGGTCAATCCAGGGACTTAGTTTGGAGTTCTATCTGAGTACTAATGGGGTGGCGGAACGAGCTAACACAATAGTCGAGCAGTACCTATGTTGCTATATAAACTATCAGAAAACAGAGGGTGAAGCTCCTACTTTTCACAGAAGTGGCTTTTAATAACTCTGTGCATAGTAGCACTGGGTTCACCTCTTTTAAAGTAAGTACTGGAGTTGAGTTTATGCCAATGACAGAATTTCCAGGGGAACCTCCTCCCACAGAAACATTAGCTGACTGGATGGACACTCTACAAGCTACCTGGGGAAGTGTGTAAGAAAGCTCTGAATAAAGCTAGGGAGTCGCAAAAGAAACAGGCAGATCAGAAAAGACCGCCTAAAAGGAGTTCAGGCTTGGGGAGAAAGTATACATCTCTACTAAATACCTGAAGCTGAAGCAACCTTGTAAGAAACTGGGTCCCAAGTATATAGGTCTGCTTCCAGTTGTTCGAATTATAAACCCACTTGTAGTGGAATTGTGGTTACCAAAGGTGCTCAGGAAAGTTCACCCTGTGTTCCACTGTAGCTTCTTAAAACACTTCCAAGTCTCTAAGTTAAGGCTAGTCAAAGGGGAACCTCTGCCTCCTGTTGTAGTGGGGAGAGAGAGGAACACAATGAGATCAAAGAGCTGTTAGACTCAAGATACTTTAAGGGGAAATTACAATACTTAGTGCAGTGGAAAAAATACCCCTCAGCTGATGCTGAATGAGTAAAGGCCCGTAATGTTAGTGTAGAAAAGTTACTAAGAAGATTCCATGTAAAATATCCTCAATGACCGAAGAGATTATTGAAGGCTAAGTCTATCTAGGTAATGGTGTTTATGCTTAATATTTTCCAGATGTCTTTTTCCTTCAGGGGATTGGCATATCAAGATTGAACAGCTTTGCTCCTTTCAACTAGACAATGAACTGGGGGAGGGAAGAGGGGAAATAGAATGCTGAGATTGTGTGAATGGACTCTTGAAAGCTTGGCAACCATCAAGGTCATTATTACAGGTGCATGAGAAAGAGATGGATTGTTCCCATAACAAAAGGATGTCTCGTAACTGGACAATGTGGAGAAGGGGTGTCAAGAGAAGGGGTGTCAAACTCAAGGCCCGCAGGCCGCCTCTGACCACAGGTTGCTTAAATCTGGCTTACAGGGTCAGCCTGGAAGTATCAAAGGATTGGCCTACGGTGCCTCTGCCAGCCAAAACAGGCCACGGGGCTGTGTGCAGCCTCCCAACCCATTTTTGGCCTCCACAGCCTCCTGCAGCACTCTGCCAGCCAAAAATGGGCCACTCTGTGTGGCCCATTTTTGACTGGCAAAGTGCTGTTGGGGTGGAGACTAAAACAGGCCATGCAGGGACCTCGCAGGGCCTCCGTGCACCCTGTTTTGGTCAGCAAATTGGTGCAGGAGGCTGTTCAGCCCGAAAAAGGGCAGAGTGGGCCATGTGCAGATCCCCGGCTCACAGTTTTGGCTGACAGGGTGCTAGAGGAGGCATCCATCCTGTGCCTCCCATTAGCCTGAGGAGAACCACAATGCTGATCCAGTCCTTGAAGAAATCTAATTTGACACCCCTGACCTAGAGGTCAGGAGAAAGGGAAGCTATTGTTTAACTAAGCAAGCATTTACACAGGAAAACCAGAGCTGGTTTTGATTCTTCAGTAACAAAATGGTGTATCCAATAAAATTTTACTTTTGGGAATTCAAAGCTCCTGAGAGTATTTCCTTCTTTGGGGTTCACTAGTCGGACAATTGACAGTCAGATTGTTCTTGCTTTGAAGAAGAAGCTAAGTAATGGACTCGAATATCAGTTACTACTTCCATTCAATTTTTCATAAACCAAATATTGTCAAGAATTCCATCAGATGTTTGAGTCTTTGAGAGAGAAGGTTTAATTTTATAGTTACATAGAAATATCTCATACTTACAACATCTTGAAAAAAATAGTTGTGTTATTAATTAGATTCCAAAGATTGTTCGGAATTTCCAAATCTTTAGGTACTTTGGATGAATTGTCTAATGTTTGCCTTTCAAATAGCAGAGCCATTACAAATTGTACAAATAATTCTCAGTTTCAAATGTGTTTGGGAGGTAAGGTAGGAAGGGTTTGGTTAGCAAATTTGGGGATTTTATAAGCTGCCCAGTTGTTGGGGACAGTTAAATAGATTTTTGATGGAAAATACTAGGATCTAAAATTGGAAACAAACTCTTGATTTACCTTTATTCTATATATCTTTTTAGTGACTGCAAGGAAAATAAAGGCATTTATGCTACACTCCGCTTGGAAAACCTCTTCAATATCCATACAATCCTAAACGTCAGCATGGTGAGTTTAACAGTTTATGAGTATTTTAGTACTTTACTATACAATCTTTTGCATTTTGTTCTATTTTGATTTTGTTAGAAAATATGATTTGCAAGAAGTAAGCTGTTTGTGTGTCGTAGTGATTGAATCCCTGGCTCAAATCTGAATTTTTATCATTGTTGCAAAGTGGCACTCTGGGAATCTTTCATTTGTCTTTCAGCTCTGTTATTCATTCTGTCCTTGGCAGCTTGTCTGTGTTTAAAGTGTTTGGGGTCCTCCTTCAGCTCAATTTTGCTTCAGTATTTTTCTTTTCACGGGATGAAACTGTGTTTTCATTTAATGTTACAGGATTTGAACTACAATATTTACAAAGCACCTCTGACGCCAACTTTCTCTAGGTAGTTCCAAACATTAAAAACGATACAATAAAAAATGATCTAACATACTTCAAATGAAATAGAAGCAATTAATATCCATACATAGTCTTGCTGTAGCATCTTATGATGCCAGTGTGCCAGGCTGAATTAAAAATGCTTCTCTTACATGCCAAAATTAGTACATGCCAAATGCTTAGGAGTGTAGAAGAGGGCAAGTTTTCACAGAAGGGGCACCAGAACAGAAAAGGCTGTTTGGGTCCCAAGAATGTGGCCTAATCTGTCCTGCAATTGTCCTGCAAACTTCAACTCCTACGCTGCAAAAACATATGGACCACTCTACTTGACCAGGGTAAAGCTATAGATGCAATTTACATAGACTTCTTCAAAGCCTTTGATTCAGTGGTACATGACAAACTACTGTTAAAACTAAACTCTTAAGGCATTTCCGGATCCCTTCATAAGTGGATTACTGCGTTCCTGTCAAACAGGCAGCAAATAGTAAAAATAGGGAGCGCTGTATCAAATCCTGCTCCAGTTAACAGCAGTGTCCTCCAAGGCAGCATTCTAGGAGCCACACTTTTTATACTCTATATAAATGACCTTTGTGATCACAATATAAGCAACTGTATCCTCTTTATGGATGACGTAAAACTATTCAACACCACTGACAATGCTACAATCCTTCAATGCAACCTTGATTATGTGTCTGAATGGTCAAACATCTGGCAACTCCAAATGCTCAACAAATGCTCTGTCCTACACATTGGTAAAAAAAAATCATTACACCAAATACAAACTAGGCGGATATGACCTTGTTGATGATTCTCACTCTGTCAAGGACCTTGGAGTTCTCATATCAAATGACCTAAATGCCAGAGCTCACTGTAACAGCACTGCCAAAAAGGCATTAAGAGTTGTAAATCTAACATCTTATGAAGGTTCTCCTCTGGAAATATCGAATTGCTAACTAGAGCATACAAAACTTTTGCCAGACCAATACTCGAATACAGCTCATTCGTCTGGAATCCACACTGCATATTGGACATTAATACAATCGAGCAAGTCCAGAAGTATTTCATGAGAAGAGTACTAGACTCTTCTGCTCACAACAGAATACCCTATATCACTAGGCTTGAGATTTGGGGGTTGGACAACTTTGAATTACACCACCTACGGTTAGACTTAAGCGTAGCACACAAAATTATCTACTACAACGTTCTACCAGTCAATGACTAATTCAGCTTCAACCACAACAATACAAGAGCACACAACAGATACAAACTCAATGTAAACTGCTTCAAACACGATTGCAGAAAGTACAACTTCAGCAACAGAGTGGTCAATGCCTGGAACGCACTACCTGACTCTCTTCTTACATCCTCTAACCCCCATTCCTTTAACCTCAAACTAACCACTATTGACCTCACCCCATTCCTAAGAGGTCTGTAAGGGGCGTGCATAAGTGCACCATCGTGCCTACTGTCCCTGTCCTATTATCCCCATTTATTTGTACCTATTTCCTGTATTCTTACTCATGTTTATACTTATACCTATTATCTTGTAAGTGATTGACAAATCAAATCAATCAATAAATAAATATATCTAGTGGGATTTATTGCAGCCATTAGGTGGGTTGACACGGAAGGGATTATTTGTGGTATTCTGATCTAGTTGTTTAGCCTTGCAGATTTAGAACATAGAACATAAAATAACAATTTGGAAGTGTTTTAGTCCATCTCTGTGCTCGGGCAAGAGACTCTATACCATTCTGGACAAATGTTTGTGCAATCTCTTTTTGAACACCTCCAGTGATGGAGCACCCACAATTTTTAGAGGCAAGCCTTTCCACTGATCATTTGTTCTCACTGACAGGAAATTTCTTCTTAGTTCTAGGTTGGATCTTTCTTTAATATTATCCTTGTCTGGCCCTCAGTTGCTTTGAAGAATATGTCAATTCCCTCTTCTCTGTGACAGCTCCTCAAATATTGGAAGACTGTTATCATATTGTGGGAAGAAAGGATAGGCTATTGATCTATCAAATTCAACAAGGCATTTGGATGATAGCAGACCCCAGAATAAAAGAGACATGAACCAAAGTTTTAGATAGGATGATTTCAAAATGTACCAGAGCTATTCGTAATCCTGCTGAGCTGTTGTGATAGAATGTGATTTTGCAAAGTCATGTAGTTTTGAAAACCTAGCTGTGAGAAATAGGGAACAGAAAGTAGCTGATGGATAGAGGTTTGAGATGTATACAGGTGTATGTGGAGACTGTCCGTCAGTAAGAAAGAACAGAGAAGTAAGTTGTGAAATGCACGCAGAAAAGTATAAAAAGAATGTCTTGGGATGTGTTCAGGGCCATGGTTACTCCTTGCTGGATTCAGCCATGTCAGTGCACCTCGTTACAATGAGTTATTTGATATAAGTTGTGTTATGATAGCTGTTCATGTTCCAAATTGCTTGTGAAATAAACCTCTGATCTTAAAGTAGGATTTATTGCTTGTGGTTTGTTTGTGTTCCTCCTTTACTGAATTATTTTTACAACAGTATCACCCCTAGTACTTCTCTTCATTAGACTAGACATACCCAGCTCCCCCAACCATTCATCCTATGTTTTAGCCTCCAGCCCCTGATTCAGTTGCAACTTTGAATGGTTTAAAACCAGTGCTGCTATGCACTGCATTATTGTAAGTCACTTCTGTGAAAGGAAGGTCAGTCCAATAATCCTGTGAAATAATGTAACATCGTAAGTATTGTTCTAAGACTCCATTTGTGCATTCACAGCTTCCATTCATCTGGGGATGATGACAGGAGCTAAGCTCTTGGGTGGTGCCAAGCAATTTTAGGAATTCTTGCCAAAATTGTGAATTGAACCATGCGATTTGAGATAATTTGCTCTGGGGATCCATGAAGTCTATAAATATGTTGCACAAAGAGTTTGGCTATAGTATGTGCTAAGGGAATTTTGAGGTAAGGCACAAAGTGCATTTGTTTAGAGAAGAGGTAGATTATCACCCAAATGGGTGTGTTTCTTGAACTTTCTGGTAACTTTACTATACAGTCCATGGAGATTTTTTCCAGGATGGTTGAGGTTTTGCCACTGTTTGAAGGAAACCTGGGGTTTTCCTGAACATCTTTTGGCTGATGAACATATAGGGTAGCTAGCCACCATAAGTTTCAATGATCTTTTTTTGATATGGCCTCCAGAATTGGTGCTTCACTTAGGTGTAGGAAAGTGGTTTTCCAGTTGTTCCCCTCTTTAATCCGTAGTCTGTAGTATGCCTTTCATAGATGTAATTTGGTGAAGATCTTCTTTGCTAAGTGGGCAGGCATGTCTTTCATTAACAGGGGGTAAACTTTCTCAGCACAAATAGCATTTAACCCACGCTAGATGGTGGAACCCATCCTTCTTTTCCTGGAATAGGACCAAGGCAGCCATCCATAATTTTGTTGTCTGGATAAATTACCGCTGCAAGTTCTTATCTGTAAAGGACTGGAGCTTGTCTTGCTCCTTTGGAGTTATGGTGTATAATTTAGGTTTGAGTAATTTGCCTCCCAGCAATATTTCTATAATTCAGTCAGGGTAGTGGTGAGGGGAGATCACATCTGAGTCTTTTTCATTGAAAACCTAATCCCAGTACTCCTTGGGATTCGGGGGTTTGCCTTGGTTCATTGCCACATCACTGCAGCAACCTCTCCTTTTACTTTCCTGCCAAACGTTGTGAGGCTTTTTCTGAATGGTTTCCTTTTGGGCTCTCTGACAGTTGACTTTTGCTGAATCTTTAATACCAGCCTCCTCTGATTCACATAAGGGTTCCATTTCAGGAGCCATGCAGGTCCAGTATGAGGGGTCTACCCATGCCTTGTCCCACAATAAAGCTCAGGGTTTCCTCATTTTCATCTCTACCAGTTTGGTGACAAATGTTGCATAGGCTCCCTGCTATCAAACCATGGCTTTGAAGTTTGGTGCCTCTTCAGGTTTCACATTCCACTCTCACGGTCCATACTTGATCAGCTGGTGTGTTCCGGATTGACACCTCTGGTTCCTGTCACCCTGTCATTCTCTCTCTTCCTCCTTCTGTCCATTCCTTACTTCCCATCCTCCTCCTTACTCCCTTGTGTTTTATGGCAGAATGTCAATGAAGAGAGTTGTGCTGAAGATGGCAGATATGACATGTATCTGATTTGTTGTATGTGATAGGTATGAGGCACTTCTAAAAAAGACACTTGGAAATGAGAGGCATCAAAATTTGAGAATTGTTTCCTTTCACCTCTTTTCCCACACAGTATGCAGAAGATGTGTCCCTTAAAATCAAGAAAATCAATATAAATTTAAGCAATATAGTTTTACTGAGCAACACTGGAAAAGAGAACTTGTTGAATTTTGGTTCTTCGGGAATAAATGAAATCAACTTTGCGGCATACCTGTCAGAGGTAAGGTGTTGACTAAATCTCTAATTCTAGACACCTGAAAGGGAGCCATTTTTTCACTTTGCTTTACTCTGATAGTTATAAGAAGCAACTGTTATATAACAAAATAACAGTTGGAAGAGACCTTTGAGATTTTCTAGTCTAACACTATACCATTCCAGACAAGTAGCTGTCCAGTCTCTTCTTCAAATATATACTGTATCGTCTACATACAAAGTACTTTGCCTCATTTTGAAAACAAAGTAATACAGGTAATCCCCGGGTTGCAAGTGTTCCCTTAGCGATTGTTCGAAGTTACATGACAAATGCTCCCTAGCGTTTACGAATCAGTCCCAAAATTACAAATGTTGCATAAATTATGAATGTTGCAGCAGCGAAAAAGCTGTTTAAGAACGACTGCAGAGGCTCTGCAACATTAGTCCTGCCTATTCACTCCCCCCACCACCCCCACTGGGTCTTCACAGGCACTCTGCCTGTGGAGACTCACCTTGTGAAGATCTCTCTGTTGTGATTTCTTTGCCTACTTCGTTGCTTCAGGCTTTTGGTACATTTATAGAAAACAGAGGCCTAACATACCGCGAGATCATGCCAGATCAGTAGCATCAGATCTCGTGCTACTGATCTCACATGATCTCACACTTTAATCCTCTATTCTTTGAGGCATGGATATTTGCAAACCAAGTGAAGGCTTTGGTCCTCAGGCCTTCCCTCTGTTTACCATTTCCTTGCCAAAACCTGCAAGGGAGATTGCATCTCTGTGGGTTTTGGCAGCCCTTTGAAAAAAGCCTTTATCGGCATCAGCAAAGCTTGGGAGGAGTGGAAGCCTCCTACTGACAAATGCTTTTTGCAAAGGGCTGCTGAAGCCTATAGGGACACAATCCTCAAGCTCTTTGGCGGCAAAAAAGGAGGCCTGGAGGCGGTACGCCGGTCCTCTGTGCCTCCTTTTTCATTGCCAAAACTTTCCTCAAGCAGTTTGGCTGCAAGAAATGAGGCCTAGAAGGACGCAGCCCTCCAAAGCCATCCTCAAGCAGTTTGGCAGTGAGAAAGGAGGCCCAAAATGGTGCGGGTGGCTCTCCAGGCCTCCTTTTTTGTCACCAAAGTCATCCTCAAGCAGTTCGGCAGCAAAAGGAGGCCTGGAAGCCTGTGCATGGCCCTCTGTGCCTTTTTTGTCGCTGAAGCCATCCCCAAGCAGTTCGGCAGCAAGAAAGGAGGCCCAGAATTGTGCATGCAGCCCTCCAGGCTTCCTTTTTCATTACCAAAGCCATCCTTATGCCATTCAGCAGTGAGAAAGAAGGCCCAGAATGGTGCGCATGGCCCTCTGGGCTTCCTTGTTCATCACCAAAGCTGTCATCAAGTGGTTCGGCAGTGAGAAAGGAGGCCTGAAAGGCCGCATGCACCCTTCCAGGCCTCCTTTCTTGCCTCCAAATTGCTTGAGGAAAGCTTCAGTGATGAAAAAGGAGGAAGCAGGTGAAGAAACAGGCTGGAGAGGAGACAGACCTTCATCAGATGAGTGACTCGGCACAGCAGGATGTCAGGGGGCAATTGTGAGGGTCCCAGGGGAGGGAGAATGAGCTGTGGGTCGGAGGAGGCCTTGGGTAGTCTGAAGCAGGTGGCCTGTTCATGTCCTTCTCCAGCCCGAGATGCCTCACATGCATTTAACAAATTGTGAATTCAATTAGTGAATGCATGGGCAAAAGGAGGGAGTGATCGTGTTCAAGGTATGAGATTCACTCCTACAAATCCTCGGGTTACGAATGGAATGGGAAGGCTCCATTGCATTCATAACTTGAAGACTACCTGTATTGCTTATGTAGCCAGACCAGGCTGCCAGAATCAGAATGGGAAACAAACACACATGCACTTTTTGAAGACCTGTCTTTGTCCTGTTAAGCCTTTGACAATCTTCGTTGTACTATCAGACTGATTTTTTTTTGTTGCTACAGATTAACCCTGTCCTCCCTCTAAGTCTAATGCTGCATGATTTTCTGTCCTCTCTTCCTCGCTCTAGATTAATAAGAGCATCACCAAAATTGATCTATTGTTATATGCTAATGATTTGGAAGCGAGAGCAGATCAGCTGGTAAGTTGAGCAAGTGACGATGTTGTAACTACTGAATGCTGAGGCTGTCTTAAAGCATGCATAAAATAGAGCATTCTGTAGCAGTTGTTCTGGGGCTCAGGGTTGGGTGTTACAGCAAGGGTTCAAAAATGTCTTTTGAAAGTCATGGATAATGTTAGGCCCAAAATAACTAAGTCCAGTCCGCAGAACATAATTGTTTAGGAGAAAAGAGGCAGGTTCATGTTAGAAAAGTTGTTTTGCTTCTTTTAAGACCCCCACAAGACCATCTAGAATACTTTTAGGAAGAATGTAGATTTTCATCTTGAACAGGAACACGACAATTTAGAATGTTCCTGTTGTTAATCAGCTGCTGGCTTGAAATCTCACGTTACGCATTTATAATGAAACTTCTCAGTAGCAGGCATCTGCAATTTTTGATCTCTTGAAAAAATGGTTGGGTTTACATCACATGAAAGCATGTATTTCCCTTGATAATAGATTATTCTAAGTGGAAGCATGCAGACAGGAAAAGAAGGAATATCAGTTTTCTTTTCTGCTATTATTTCTTTTCTGCTCTAACAGCAGAATAACTTACATGTTGGAAACCATACATTTAATTGTTTCCTTGCATTTCTAGCCCAAAGGAGCATTAGAAAACGCTTTGAAAGGACATGCAAATACGATTCGGCTGATACATAACCAGCAAGTTGTTCCGTTGGAACAAGGAATGGTAAAAATTTTTTACAGTAGTATTGGAATCTGTAATGTATCATATTGATAAACTGGAGCAAGTCCAGAGGAGGATTACCAAGATTTATTTATTAGTTTGCTTATTTATTTATATGTCAAATTTATACAGTTGCCCATCTCAGAAAACAAATTACTCTGGGCAGCATACAAAAAGCTACAATTAATAAATACAAAAAAAAAAAATCATTAAAACATTAACATCTATAAAAACAAAACAAAAAACTAAAACTAGGAAATATTGGATGAAGAAGTGTAAATAATAACTCTCTCAATACTTCACCAGTCCCCTGGGGTCCTCAGGGTTGATGTCAGATGGTGAAAAGACCTAGGTGTGTTTAGCTTATAGATGAAAGGTTCGAGAGGGACATGATGGGCAGATATCAGATATCAAAGGCAAAGATTTATTCTCACTTGTTCAAGAAGTCAATACTAAAACAAATGGGGCAAAACTTCAAGGATAAAGTAAACTTTAGGATGAATTTATTGATAGTAAGAGTGGGCAATCAATAGAACAAGTTATTTCATGGAGTGGTTTCTCAGCTGAAAATTTTCATGCAGAGGTTGTACAGGGATGATATATGCATGAACTTGATGATCTCATAGGTCTTTACAAATTAACAGAGTTGGAAGGGACCTTGTAGGTCATCTAGTCCAACCCCCCCACCCAAGCAGGAGATCATATACCATTTCTGAAAAATGGCAGTCCAATCTCCTCTTGAAAGCCTCCAGTGATGAAGCTCCCACAACTTCTGAAGACAAGTTGTTCCGTTGGTTGATTGTTCTCACTGTCAGAAAATTTCTCCTTATTTCCAGGTTAAATCTCTCCTCATTTGGTTTCCATCCATTATTCCTTGTCTGGCCTACAGGACCTTTAGAAAATAGCTTGACCCCTTCTTCCTCTCTGTGGCAGCCCCTCAAATATTGGAGCACTGCTATCGTGACTCCCCTGGTCGTTCTCTTCATTAAACTCGCCATGCTAAGTACTTGCAAACGTTCATTGTATGTTTTAGCCTCCAAACTGGTTGAATACCATCTCCCCCCCCAATGATTGTGGGTGCTAATTTTCTCTTAATGTTGCGGTAATTTGTCTTGACTATCTTCTTCTCTGAAAAGTCTCTACTTTATTGTTTTCTTCATAATTTTTCCTGCTGAGTAATTTTAATCATCCTCAATCTTTTATTTCAAAAACTGGCTGTCAAGAAATATGTTAGAGCTAGGGTAAGTGTTTTTCCTTTCTTATACTGAAAGTGAATAATTAGCTTAAGCCTGTTTCGGACAGTCTTTATTAAGCATGTAACTAAGCTTGACTTCAGTTGAAGAAAAGACTAAAAAGTATCAAAGACTTCACAGTAAAGTACCTTTGCTAATGTTGAATGTTAGTTCAATAGCTAGAAATATTTTTAAAAGCATGAAAGCATGTTAAAAATCATGAACACTGGCTACATAGATTTGTAAAGAAAATAATTTTGAGATACTTTTATAATCTTGCTCTGCTTCCTATAATTCTCCAATATTCAAGACACTCAGGGTTTGCAAACTTTCATCTATTTGCCCCCATTATCTCAAGGACAGAGAGTGGATATTTTTTTCTGCTTATTTCTTCTTCTTCTTAACAGCAGTGGAGAATAAGGACTGAGATGAAATGCTGTGCATATGCTAAAATTTACAATTCAAGAAGAAAAGCACAACTTTTCACATGGGCTGAAGGTTATAGAAGCAGCTCAGCAATTATAGCATCAAATAATTCTATAAAATAATTATATTTTCCTATCTCACACCACACTGGTTTGTGTATCATGCAGTTTAACTAACCGGCTACTAGATATTTTATACAAGGACCAGCTTTAAAACAGATCTTTGCATGTATCTGTGACAGGATTATAAAAGTATCTCAAAATTATTGCATATCTTTATTTTCACAATTGTAACAATTGCCCTCCCCACATACACACCTAAGCATTAAAAGTAATGGCATAAAAAGTGTGTGGCTCAAGCTATTAGAGATAAAATCTTTGTTTTCTTTATTATAAACTAGAGTACTTTAAACCAGAGTATTCGGTTACTACAGAAAACGTCATTAGAACTTCCAGTAAGTTTTTCTTTCTTATCTTCTACAATAAATGAACATTTATTTCTCAGTGTTTTGCTTATAATAGGCCAAGTGTTTGTTAACAACTAGCTATTTTTAAAAAAAGTTTTAATTAAGTATTAAAGAATAAGCGGAACATTTTAATGAATTTTATCTCCATTTAATAGGAAATTAAAGAAAAGTGATCTATCTAGTTTGCTTTTTAAATATCCTGCTACGGATTTTAATCCTTTTTCTTTAAATAACTATGGAAATCTAGATTTTTAAAAATTGCAGTGTCTGGCTAGGCACTGTTTCAAGACCTTAATGCATCACAATTGGAGGATGGGTTTCACTTAAGGTCTTTTCTCTGGCTTTTCCAGGAAAAAGTGAGAAGTGTAATCAGTGCCATTGAAGCCACTCAATTTCTTATAAACAACAATGCTTCATTTGTAATTGTCCAGGTAAATATTTTTGTCATAGTAACCCTTCAAAGAAATCCTTACACTGAACATAGCTTTGGATTCTCATATCCTCTTAACAATGGTTTCTTTCTTTCAAGGAAGCTAAGAAATACATGGATACTATCTTAGGTTACTTTGAGCAGTATTCCGTATGGGTGAAGGACTCGGTAAGACCTTTTGGTTTATTGGATTGATTTCTCATCAGTTATGAAAATCTAGATCAAATATGCAGCCAAGAATCAAAACTGAATACATTTGAATTCATTTCTGTCTTAAGATGGGTGTGGAGAAGCATTTTCATGGACACATTAGAACATCAAATCTGTATCTCATCTCTTGCAGATTACTACACAAGTAGCAACCTGTAAACCAATTGCAAATACGATTGATACAGCTGTCGATATTTTTCTGTGCAGCTATGTAATGGATTCTTTGGTAAGTGGGAATTAGAAGAGGGTGTGGGTGTTTAAGTCATCTCTCTGCCAGAAACTTTACCTGTTCTTTAGAGTGAAGAAGCCAATAAGATGGAAAATGCTTTTCTATTTATTATAGTTTCTCTGTGGATTTATGCCACTTTCTGTTGGATTCCTCATAAAACAAATTTTTATGATAAATAAGACTGATAACCAGCCTTATTCAAACATATCTTTATCAAGCTAAAGGAAGGATATAAAGGAAATAGCTTTATCAAGATAAGGGAATAAATAAGAAAAAAACTGAAAAGTATTATGTAAAAATGGGAATTGCAGGTGATTCTTGGAAGCTGATGGCCTGCTTGGAGGCCAGGCCCTTTTTTGCATGGTTTTGTCCCTAACATCTTCTGCTTCTGGTTTTACAATCTCTCTCTGGTTTGGGCTACCCCATTCACAGAAGGATCTCAAGTAGGGCTCTGCGGGAGGTTCAGATTCCACAGGGAAAAGCTTCATCCTGACTCACCCGGAGGAGCAAAACAAGAAGGAAGTTGAATTCAAGGCTAAAGTAAACTTTCCATGCAAGAAAAGACTTAATGGCCTATGATCTCATGAGCAGTAAATGTCTTTGCTAAGTTGGAGGGCTTAGCAACTATACTTGAACAACTGCATCCCTTGAAACACACATTTTCATCCTTCTTAAAACTGAAGTTTTGCTTGTTTATTGCTTGAATACTCAAGTGACTCTAGTTTGGTGTTTTTACCTAAGTGAAAAAGGATGAATAGCTTTGAGATGAAGCTTACAGAAGGAATGAGGAAGAAGCATTCCAAGCAGCTTGGATTAGATATGCATCCAATTGTTCTTTTTCCTTTTTGTTAGAATGCTTTCTGGTTCGGACTAGGAGGCTGTTGCATCTTGCTGATCCCTGCCATTATTTGTGCGGTGAAACTAGCCAAATTCTATCGCAGGATGGATACCGAGGACGTGTATGATGAGTAAGTAAAAATAGAATGAGTCAGAGTAACAGGCTCCATTGCAGAGGTTGTATTCAGCCGGTTCACACCAGTTCTGGTGAACCGGTAGCAAGAATTTGGCGTGGGTCGTGGAACCAGTAGTGACTTCTGGCTGGCCACGCCCCTGAACCAGTATGGTCGCGCGACGATCGCTCGCCCCTTCCCGCTGCTCAACAGTCGACGCTCGAGTCGCTCATCTTTTCCAACTGCTCAAAGCTCGCCCTGCCCACCCCTGCCCTATATATGTTGCCTTCACCACATGGCCCAGCTAATCGCCTCCCAGTTGCCTTGTTGATAACTGGTCAGCTCACCAAAGGTGCATGCCGCCCACTGACCCTTTGCCTTGGCTTGGGGGCTATTCCCTGAGTCCCTGGAACCATCAGCTGCCTCAACTGGGTCGGGGAATGCGTGATTCCTCAGCTCCGGCCTTGCCCCGGAGCCGCCGCCCGCTCACTACCCACTCTCTCTTAAGCATTATGCGTTGCCCATTTTCCCCTCTGGAGGCCAAAAACATTCCAATTTTTGGTCTGCAGAGTGCTTCTGGAAGCCAGGGCAGGCAAAAATGATATGTATGGAAGGCTTGGGAGGCCAAAGACAGGCCTGATTTGGGCCAGCAGAGTGCTTCTGGGGGCTGGGGAGGGCAAAAACGGGACACGTGGAGGGTTTGGGAGGCCAAAAACAGGCCCGTATTTGCTCTATAAGATGCACAGGCATTTCCACCCACTTTTTTGGTGAAAAAAGTGCCTTATAGTGCAAAAAATGTGGTATTTTGACACCCTCCCATGCCAGCCCCTCCCTCAGAGATAGGTCATCTTTGTGGTGCTAGAACCATTCGTGTCTTATTCAGAGCAACTTTTAAGGGTTGTGCTAAGTCTTGGGTTGGCTCTGGCTGGGTCATTTCTTGTTGGGTGAGAGCTGGTGCTGCACGCCGCTTGGATGAGATGATGGATGTCACCACTACCTCTCAGGCACTGTTGTACTGCAGCCTGTAGGAGATGGCATCTGCAAGGAAGTTGCCCGCCCCTCCCCGGCAGATGCAGAGTATGAAGTTGAACCAGTTAAAGCAGGGGTGGGATTCAAATTTTTTAACAACCGGTTCTATGGGCGTGGCTTAGTCAGTGGGCATGGCTTGCTGGTCATGTGATTGGGTGGACATGGCCAACTCAATATCACTCACATCGAGAAACGCATCTCCTCACCTGGCCTTTCATGACTGTGGGGATGCTGCAACAGTCATAAGTGTGAAAAATGGTCATAAGTCACTTTTTTCAGTGCCATTGTAACTTTGAATGGTCACTCCACTCAAGCAAAGTACCAGCAAAGGAGGGGAAAAAACTCCAGAGAAGTTCCAGAGACAGGAAGTCTAGTCCTGCCAGGAATGTAATAAGGGTTAATGGAGAGGCAGTTTCTGTAAGCAACACCAGAATGTTTCCTTCCTGCCTTCCTTACAGGATTAGGCCAGTAATTTCTTCTAACAACCAGTTCTCTGAACTGCTTAGCATGTTAAAAACCGGTTCTTAACATGCTAAGCAAATAAGTGTGAACTGGTAGAATCCCAAACCTGAATGCAGGTGTCCTTGGGGAATACAAGAATGTCAGTCCATACATTTTCTTTTTTCTGTTGATCCTGAAAAGAGCAACGAGGAGAAACAGAGCTGGTAGGCAAGGCACATTTTACAAAATCTCCCTGCCAACACCTGTGCTTACTGATATGCGCAAAGGCACAGGTAAAGCCACTGCCGCAATTTGAAACTGGGGACAATTCTTGTCATCTCTCTGAGAACTGCAGGCAAAGTAGATTGAGAACCCTCCAAGAACAGCCACAATGCAAGAGGATCACACATGGAACCAAAATTGTGCTATGTTTTCTAGGAGTATCTGCAAGGTGTGGCCAAAATAATCAGAATGGCAGGCACAATCAAGATGGCAGCCATAGCAAAAAGATGGTGAGAAGCTTGGAAGCTAAATTCTACACAGACTAGTTGTAGGAACTTGGCATGAATTAGCCTTAAGAAGAGAAGACAACTGCGGGGAGGCATAGCCATCCAAAATTTGAAGGGTCAACACAGGGAAAAGTATGTGATTTATTCTCCACAATAAATTTAATAAATAAAAAAAACTACAAGTTCTACAAGATTGGCCCCGTTATGGCAGCCATTTTTGATTTTTTTACCACATCTTGAAATTATTCCTGATAGTTAGTTTCCATATTTTCCTTGCCATAGCTCTTAGTTTATGCCCTGCTCTGCATAATAGGATTTCTCTTTTCCGTCTTGCAGTTCATTTGTCTCAGGGATTTGGCACATTATGATAACTGTATTTACTGATTTTTCACTAGTCTCTACTTTTATGAATCATTTTCGGTAGGTTTTTCCAATGCCTTTTCCAATCTCCTCTCCCCCCCCACTGCCTTTTTTTAAAAAAAATTCTCATTTGTTTCTTTGAGACGAAGATTGTGTTAATATCACACTTTTGCTATAAGAGGAAAAAAAAATACTGCTATGCCAAACATTATTTTCTAGAAATAACATGATAATTCTTTTTTCTTATTATTTTTGTAGTGTTGAAACTATGCCCATGAAAAAGTAAGAAAGCTTTATTAATCATATGGCATGTAAAGCGGGAGTGATTGTGATTTTGTTTTTTTATGGGTTTTTTAGTTTCAAACATAACATATTTAGATTGTCAAACATTTTCAAACATAACATATTTGGATTGTTGATTTTTCTCTATCACTGCCTTTTTGATCTACATACATAGCTACAAAATTTTACATTCAAAATGTTTCGACATGGAACATTCTGTAGAATTCCCTTCCATTCCATAGATTTCATAGGCTCCAATGAGAGTCTGTTTATTTGCATTATTTTATATGTTATAGGATACTAGATGAATTGGTATTTTCTGTTATTGGTTGTGGTATAAATTGCTTTAATCTAACATTTTTTGGAAAGGCAACTGATAACATTTCAGATAATGACCTTTTTAATTACCATCTTTGTAACTGCAATTTGAATTAAATTGCATTTTATCATTAACCCACTCCTTTCCTCATGTATTTATTTTATTACAGTTTGGAAAATTGTAATATTGGTTATCATAAAGAGCAATTATATGGTATACACAATCCAGTTATGACAAGGTAAACCAAGTTTAAAACTGCCCACCTTTTAAGTGTCCTTAGTATTTCTTGTATTGTTCATATACACTTCTGCACATTTTAAAGTCAATATCTTTTCTTTTTGCATGATTTTTCCTTGACTATGTTTTTTCACATTATATCCTATAAAAATATAATTTTAATAGTGAAATTGGTTTCATTACTTCGCAACTGCTCTCTTTTTAGACGTTGTTTTCAAAACATTTATTTGAAGTTGAAAAGCATTACAAATATGTCTTTTTTTAAAAAACAAGCCATAGTAGTTTGAGTTATATATAAATTAAATAGCAGTCTACATTCCATTATTTTATTTTAAAAACCTATCATTTTAAAAATAAAGCCATACATACATACATACATACATTCAACAAAGAACAAAAATGTAGGATGTATTAAAAGGAATATTTGTAAACTAAACAAGGAAATTAAAAATACATTGGTTTCTATTTAAATTATATTTGTCATATTAAAGGCCATGTATAAATAAGTAAATAAAGTAGACTATTAAATAAGTAGACTATTAACATTTTTTTCTCTTATTTCCATATTATGATGCAATCTTTAAACAAGGAATTAAACTAGACAGGATCGTATTATCTTGGCTAATATCCCAGCTGATTCCAAGCCTGAGAGTTGACAAATTTTATGGTAGCCAACATCTAGAGTCTAGGATACCATTATTCTTTGATGATCATCTGATCAGGCTTCTTGCCACAGTCCAATGGCATTATATTCTAAGTGCTTTATAGAGTGAAAGATTCCAAATTTTTGGAATATATTTTAAGAAAACATTAACTTTTTTAAACCTTAAATCCCTTCTAGTTACCCCTAGCAACAATGACTAACCAATTGCAATATTTCTAACATGTACCCCAAAGTTCCTTCAGCTTTGGATATGCTGAAAACCAGCTTTTTGAAGTAAAGCAAAGTTCCACAGCAATATTTGCTAAAGAACTAGGGGGAAGGTTGAAAAACAGAACAAGACCACCCTATTTCACAACTGTCATGGACAATTTTGAAGTTAGATGCCAATTTCTAAAATTGATACGGTCTGTTCGGAATACTTCAAACTCCAAATCTACTTCTGTCACAAATCATCAGTATTTCTAATTTTAAAAATTAATAGACATTGAAAACTCTTTTTGTGAAAAGTTGTCTTCTATATGGATATTGACAGGAAAATCTGTTGAAAGCACGTTAGGAAATCAATTAGCATTCTTTCAAGCATCCATTTCCTTTCATCTTTCCATAGTCAAAAATCATACCATGGACATCTATGCTGAAGGAACTTTGGGGTACAATGGAGAGATATTGCAAAGACTAGCTCTTGAACTCCTTTCCCCCCATTTTTCATACCAAAGCTTTATAACCTTTGCTCTCTTCCCCTAGTTATTCTTTATCTTCTTTTCCAATCTGCATGCCCTTGTTCTCAATTCTTAGTGGATTATAAAGAGCTTTATGTTTTTGTTCATAAAGAAAAGTCGAGGGCTCAATGCCCTGGTGCCTTTTGTGATCACAAATGCATGACCTCATCGTGGCTACATTTTCAACCTAGGAATTGGAATAAAACTGGGTAATAAAAGCTCCTTTTCACTCTTCAGTTTCTATATTGTATTGTTCTTGACTTACCATATTTATGTAGCTATCTCCATACAGATTTATATTTTTGTGGATTTTTCCCCTCTTAGCTCTGTGGAACAGTGGTAACTCAGACTGGAATTATTAACCGTAAGTTGCATGGCTTATTTATCTGTTAAAATTTTGGTGGCCTTAAAAAGTTCATGTAAATGAAGGTTTCATGTAAATCTTTGTTATTCTCTAACAAAGATGCAACTGTTTCAGGGCACGGCTTCCCAAATGATTTTCAACTCTTTATAGTGGTGGCCATTTTCACTTGTGTATGTACTTTTATTGCATTTTGTGTGTGTGTGTGTGTGTGTGTGTGTGTGTGTGTGTGTGTGTATGCACTGGGAAGCCCGAGGCCACCTGCCTAAGCTTCAGATGGAGGAAGAAGAGAATGTTTTAGAATTTGCCTTCCTTTTGGAGAGGCAGTGGGGGATGACAATGACAACGAGGATGACTTTCTCCACAGCCCCAGACTCATCCAGCCCACCTGTAGACCTGCTTTTTCTGCATTGGCTTTGTCTGCCATGTCAACTTTGGCTCCAGACAATTCATTTTTCAGAGAGAGATCATGCTGATGGATGGACAGACAGATAGATAAGCCTAGGCCTCTTGATATTTTTTTTCTTCAATCTTCTGTCATATTAGAAAGATTAAAAGCCCCCTCAGAGGCACCAGTTGTCATGGAGGCCTCTGGCATTTTCCTTATTTTTGACCCTAAACATGGCAGTATCCGAGTCCACTTATAGTCATGTTTCCACTATCACTGGAAAGTGATTTCACCTCTATTCTCTTGTAATGGGACAATCCTGAAAGAGCTCTGAATTTTGTCTTGTGACTTTCTTTTCAGATCCTGGAAACAACAGTTTCTCCTCAAGGAAGGCACCACTGAATCATCCTGTTTGAAGACGGCACAGCAAACAAATTTTGCATAAAAAAAGAATTACTGAATCTTTGGTCATAACGTGAATGACAATTCACCAATGACAGGTTAACCAGTGACAGGTTAATGGCAATCAGGCCACCTGGCCTCTGTTTTTGCTGCCAAGAAACCATTAAAACTTAGCTGTAATGGGCTTTGGTCTTGTTTCATAAAATCATTTTCATTTTTTTTCGTGTATCATATAATGAAATGAAACAGGTCTAACTGAATATTGTCCTCATTTTATTTTCTTTTTGCTTCACCTAAATAGTCTGTTCAAAATGAATTAGATTCTTCTTAAAATATCCAATGATGCTGTATGCTTTATAAAATATGTTTATATGAAAAATGCATTTGAATACAGAGACTTTTATACCTGAGGTTTTTACAGCTGTCTCACAACAATTAAGCAACATTTATTATCTTTCATAAGTAACCTGTTCAGTAATCAACATTTCTCTGGTGCTGTTAAAAGTGCAGGAAAAAAAAAGCAACTATGGAACTATGGATCCTGTCTTATGCTGTTTTCAAAAATATGAATGTAAATGAAGGATAATATTTTTTTCTGATTTCTTATTTAAGACAGTATTTTTATTTATATCTATGTGAGGAGAGCAATGTATGGTTGATTTGTCTGTCTCTGAACACACAGGTAGACAAATAAGCAGTGGGGATCTTTTATAATATAAGAAGAGATATTCCCCCCCAAAATCTATCTGAAGCTTCAGGAAAGCGATTAGATGCACCAGAAGACAACCACTTACTCCCTTCGGTGAAATATCTAAATATTGTAAATCACCACCATATTCCCAATGTGAATAAGTCTGATTCTCCTAGTCATTATTTCTGAATCACAGAAGCTGTGTTGAGGTTGAATTTTTGATACTGCGTTTCCCCGAAAATAAAACCTATCCAAAAAATAAGACCTACTAGATTTTTGTGCATGCATCCGATATAAGCCCTATCCCCAAAATAAGCCCTGCGTAAGTGCCTGTGCAGCCATTCAGCCGCCCATTCCATCTGGTTTATTGTGTCATGGCTGCAAGGCGAGATGGAGGGGTAGAGCTGCTTCACATGCCCCGCGCCAGCTTACCTCAGGGTCCAGGCAGCCAGGCCATCCATGCCAACAGATCACTCAGCCTCCTCTGTTGTGGCTGCATGAGCAAGCAGAAGTGGGCTGGCAGCCACACAAGGCCCTGCTGGACAGGGCTGGTGGAGTCATCACCATGAGGCGAGGCAGGTGTTAGGGCATGGGTGGCTTGGCTGTGGGGCCCTAAGGTAAGCTGGTGTGGGGTGTGTGAAGAAGCTCTACGCCCTGCCTTGCGGCAATGGCATTGATGTAATGTGTGGCCTCCTGCCCTGCCGCAAGCAGAAAAAGTGAGCCTCCAATGTACTCTTAAATTACATGGGGGAAGAAATAAGATATCCTCCGAAAATAAGCCCTAGTGCTTATTTTGGAGCCCAAAAGAAAATAAGTTCAGGTTTTATTTTGGGGGAAACAGGGTATTTAAATGAGAAGCTCCAGAGTATCTCAGAGCTGCTTTGCAGTGGCTAACATTGCCAAAGGTATGACTTTTATTTTCAGGTATGTAGCAATAGCAATAGCACTTAGATTTATATACCGCATTAGAGTGCTTTATAGCTCTCTCTAAGCAGTTTACAGAGTCAGCATATTGCTCCCAACAATCTGGATCCTCATATTTCCCACCTTGGAAAGATGGAAGGCTGAGTCAACCTTGAGCCTAGTGGGACTTGAACTGTCAAATTGCAGGCAGCCGATAGTCAGCAGAACTGGCCTGCGGTACAGCATTCTAACCACTGCGCCGCCAAGTGTGAGGTAATAAATTGTGATATAACATTGTCTTTGAACAATGGAAGGGAGTATGAATGATTTCTACAATTATGAAGAGGGGCCAGTACTATTAGATGATAATTGCAGAAAGAACGTAAAGAAATATTGTGGTATATGCCAATAATACTAAGAATGTGTTCCTATATGTACAGTCCATTTTGGGAGATCACAAGACTTTCCAAGCTGGAATTGAATTCTAATAATCATTTTAAGTTAATATGCACCCATAATTTAATTATGCAATATGCAGAGTAAACCACATGATTCAATACTTCTGCCTAACACTAAAGTTTAAAAATAACTTGTATTCCATTGACTGCAGCAAGTTTTTCAGTAACAGGACAATTTTTAAGCTATCTAGTATGTAGCCTACTTAAGAAGGTTGGGTATATGTGTTAGGTGTGTGTGTGTGTGTTCAATATTGTAGAACAACATTCTTGTTTTTAATCTGACAATGTCTTTCAGTAATTTAAATAAAATCTAGATTAATATTTGTTTCAAATGGAAGGAGTTGGTAAACAAGATTAAAACTTTGTTGTGTATCAGAGATAAACGGATTCTGCTTAAGCAATTTGTTCCAGTTGTGCTGGCATCCATAATAAATCATGATGACATGTGAAATTATTGATCATGCTCAATTATGACATGCATCAGAAGAAGTCAACATGTGTGAAGAAACAGGTGCTTTCCTAGCTTCATTGTTGTTTTGTCTCCCCATTTTAGAAAGTCTTTTGAAAGGAGGAGGTCTTCAGCAGCACACAGGGAGCCTGAGATGAAGAAATGACCAATTACTCAGAATAATCTAGACTACTTAGAGGCAAATTCTGGCCCAAGATTCTGATATAGAGTATTTCTAGGGATAAATAACAGCACAGCTGCTCTTACTAACTGAGCTGAACAGCAACTTGGAATATGGTTTCATATGAAATCTCCAGTAATATCTTGAATTGATAGTTGGTAGATTTAATGGAATATGCATACATAATACGTACCCCAATCCCCAATACTTGATTGGGATAAGATCAGTATTCATAATACTTTGCATTGTCCCAACCTGGATATGTAAGAATAGTCCATTTTGTGGAGATGAATTTTCCAAACTTCAAGTGGAAAAGTTAATCATTTCTACATCTCCTCCCAGAAGCTCCTCTGGAGGTAACTTTTGTTGCTTTGGTCCTTGATGCAGGACTGAAATTCCACATGGCCAGTACAAGCTCTGTGAAAGAAGAATAGGCATTTGTAACATATACAGAGAAAAGACTCAAGTTGGAGTAGTAAAAAGAGAGCTTTAAGTCCAACACTAATCTGAATTTAAAATTTAAAATCACATTCAACAGCAGAAGGAATTTCATAATTAAGGCACTAAATACCAAAATAATATAAGCATCAACAGGGTCTAAAAGGGGCAAGAGTTGCGTTTCCCAGAAAGGATTTTAGAAAAATAAGAGTAAATCATAACCACCGCTATTGCCCAGTGTAGATCTTTTATCCCAAATTCTTCACTCCTGTTCTTAAAAAGTGCTAACAAAAAATCCCCACAATGGTAAAGTAGGTCAACAACAAGAGTGTTGATTGAAGAATTCTTAAAGTCCTTCCCCTTAGCTCCCTTCTTAAAGCTGGCATCTTTGTTTTTTTTTCACATTGGAAGCTTCTGAGGCAGGTGGAGAAGTCCCACAAACATGACCAGTAGATGGTGCTACAACCACAATAAAAATAACCCACACCAATGCATGCTACTCCCAACAGATGAGCAACTGAGGTGACCTGAATGCAACTAGTCACTCCATGTCTCATTCTGTGGTGGCTAAACCAAAAGTCTTTGGAAGCTGAAATTGAAAAGTCTACTGGAAAGATGCAAAATAAAGTTCCTTCTGGTACTAAAATATGACATCTGCTCTGGGCATTCCCAGGTCAAAGATATTCTTGTCCCAGATACACTTTTCTAGGGCTTCCCTGCTGCCTGCAGGATATCTGTGATGCATTCCTGGAAAATAAGGCAATCTACAGTCTAGAAGAATCTGGATGGATAGATATTTAGCTAGCTATCTTGTTAATACAAGACTTTCACAACATTAAATCTAATACTGTAGCATCTCAGAACGAAACAGTTCAAGGTTAACCAGCAGCCATATTAGCCTTTAAAAGAAAATTTGTACAGAAAAGAAATTGCAGCTTATAAACCACAAAATTGCAATTCCCTTGAGCACTAGAAATGAAAAGCTGAAGATTTAATCAAAGGTGCCAATGGTATCTCGTTGTTCTACATTTTCTGTGTCTGAAGATTGTAGCAGACACCTTTGATCTACAAGGTTGCTCCTATCTTTTCTCAAGTTGTACAACTCCACGATAAGGCTTCTGTCACTGTTGCAGATACCCTGGAAACTATTTTGTCTATCAGAGCTTTCCAGAGAAACTCATATGTGACCATGTTCTATTTGCAAACGAAGTTGGGTGAAAGTTTGCCAGGGCATGGGTTTCCCTTTTAATGTATTCCTGTCCAACATACCAGAAGTCAAATGACAAAAAAAAGGATGGTTGCAATGACTCCAGCATATAATTTGTGTGTTTTTAATCTTTAACCTTCTTGAGCTCATAAATGACTTAGATGAGGGAATAGAAGGGGGAACTTACCAAATTTGCAGATGATACTAAAGTGACAGGAATAGCCAACACCCCAAATGATAGGCTCAAGATCCATCAGGCCAAGAAAGAACCCCTCCTCCGACTCCACTGAGGTAGAGAAGAGGTATTTTTACTGAGTTTGAAATGATAGCAGTGAAAGAAAAGCAAGATCTGAGCCAAGAGGCACAAAAGTTACATATTGAAAGTTTCCCTAAATCCTTTTCCCCCTAGGCTGAATGTCCAATCCATGTCCCACATAGTGTCAAAACATCTTCAGGTGTTTTCGTCCATCTGGAGTTCTAGGATGGTTGGCCTTGACTCGGTGTAAACAACTCCATTCAGCAGCACAGTTATTATTGAGAGCAAACCTCCCTTTTAGTTCACATGGGCATTCCTCACACCAGCATTTTCTAAACCCCACTGCCATGCCTCCCACCCCATTGGCAGCCAATAGCAAGCCAGCATCAAACGAAAACCCAGGGTGGAGATCCAGGCTGACATTCGGCCCTCCTGCAATAAAGGGCATTAGCCCTTAGGAAAAAACATAAGACAAAATAGACAGGATAAAAATAATTTAGGAAGGGAATTGGAAGGGCAAGTTGGCCTGGTCGAAGAGGAGATACAGGCTCAGGTTTCAACAAACTAACATGAAACACAGGATGGATCCCCCTAAGGGATTTGGGTAGCTCTAGCTGTACCGTGACTGGATTTACGAACCCAAGAATGGGGAAAGGATCTACATACTTGGGCCCCAGTTTCTTTGATTTCTGGGTGTCTGTAATTACTTTGTAGATAGGAAGACCCTGTCCCCTACTTTGAACTCTTTTGATTTTACTGTTTTCTTGTCGGTCTGTCTTTTATGGGCTTCATGTGCCTCGTCTAGTGCCTTTCGGGTGATGGGCCAAATACTTTGAAGCTGTTTAATCCATTCCACTAAGGAAGGGATTTGGGGCTTCCCCTGGGGCAGTTCTGATATGGGTACAAAATCCTGACCAGAAGCAACTTTAAATGGGGTGAAGCCAGTGCTACTGCAGTTGGAGTTATTATAAGTGGCCTCTGCAAAAGGCAGCAAGTCGGCCCAATTGTCCTGCTGGTAGTTTACATAGCACCGAAGGTAGTGTTCCAGAACTGAGTTCGTATGTTCACAGGGTCTGTTAATTTGAGAGTGGTGCGCAGAGCTTAGACCCTGGGTGGACCTTAACAACTTCAGGAATTCCCTCCAGAAGTGGGAGGTGATATGTACCCTCCTATCCAAAATGATGCAATCAGGAACCCCATGTAATCTCTACCCATGTTGGATAAACTATTTGGCCAGTGTTTTTGTGGAAGGGATCTTGGAGCAGGGTACAAAATGCACCTGCTTGGAAAATAAGTCTGTGGTCACACAAATAACTGTGTTCCCCTCGCTCTCAGGTAGTTCAACAATGAAGTCCATGGATATTTCCTTCCATGGGGCACTAAGACTGGCTATGCTCTGGAAGAGCCCAGCAGGCTTCCCGGAGGGGTGGGGCTCTAAGTAGAAGCACACACAGGACAGCTGGCCATGTAAGGTTTCCATGTCCTTTTTTAACAAGGGCCACCAGAACTGCCATTTGAAGAGGTGTAAGGTTTTCACGAAACCAACGTGACCAGCCGTTTTTGAATCATAGGCCCATTGCAGCATAGAAGGTCAAGGTCTGCTTTCTCCTGGGCTCTGGTGACTGCCAGGGAAGCCAGTTGCTTTGAGGTGATAACTGGGCAGATTACTTCTGGCCGAGCACTATTGTACTGGGGCAATCTAGATATACCATGAAGTTCTTCCTCCCAGGAAGATAGCACAAGGAAAAATTAAAATGTTTAAAGTGTTGTGCCTGACAAATTTGCTTAGGTGACAGTTTTTGGGGTGTTCTTAAGGCTTCCAGGTTGCCTCAACTGCAAATACAATCTAGATATGATAAAGAAGAGAAAATGTATGGTTTTTATAAAGAACAATCTTCAATCAGATATTGTTGAACTCCAATGCAAAACTGATTACTAAACTATATAACTGTAAAGTCTTGTCTCTCCAATCTTCCCAAGAAAGCAAGGCTCTTGAAACTGAAGTTGTTCCAAAAGGAGTTTTTATTGAAAGGCTTGTGATGGCAAGAGGTCTAGGCAGGAACGAAATTTTCCCACTTAAAAACAGCAATTTAAAACAGTGCAGACAAAACCCCTCCCACAGTACAGCAATGCAGGAAATAGAAAGAGAAACTCACAGCACAGCAATTCAGCAAACAGAAACAAAAACTTCATATAGAGATCTCCCCAATCCTCCCCACTCCCACCTGAATGCCAGCATCTCAATTGATATATATGGGGCCTGACAATAACATTCTATTAAATTTGAAAATGGACATGCTGCCCTCCTAGAAAAAACAGGAAGTCCATCTGAAAGAAAACAAAAAGAGGGAAGGGGAAACACAGAAAACATAAAATCAGTGAGGTTTGTCAGGTACAATTGATGAAATATGCATATTAATTTAGCACATGTCTTTATGAACCCATTCACTGTGTGAGAAGGAGAGGTGATTCCACGCTACCAGGTACTGAGTGGCTCCATGGAATTTCCTAGAGTCTAGAATTTCTTGAACTTCAAAATGTTGTTCGCCCTCTACCATAATAGGAGATGAAACAAGGGTGATAGTTGGACAAAGGTCAGAGGTAACTTCAGGTTTCAGCAAGCTACAATGGAAAATGTGGTGGACTTGCCATAATGACTTAGGGAGTTGCAATCTCACAATGACAGGATTAATAATATGAAAGATAGGGAAAAACCCAATGTATTTTGGGCCCAGCTTTTTAGACTGCTGCATTTTAGAAACTTAACTGGACATGAACTGGGCAGGAAGCCAACCTATACTCATAACTAGCTAAGAACATATAATGGAGAGTCTTGGCCACCAACAAATATTGAGAAAACAAGATGGTGAGAAGATATTCTAGAAGACATTCTCCAAGTCTTTGTCTTGAGATGATTTCACTGTGATGATTTCACATGATGTTCACTGTGATCTGATTTTTTTCTGGTAGTTTCATACTTTATATTTCTCAATAGTTACTAAGTTATGACATCTTCACTCGTAAGTCAGGGCATGTTTTCTAGAAGCTATAAGACATAGCCCGAATGGAAAGCCTATCTTTACATGTACAGCTAGCTTTTCCCTTCATTACAAGAAAAAATGACACAAAAAGGACTGTGAAAGGGAATATCAAGAAGGAAAATATGTGGATATATGAGTATTACAAATTCTTGCATAAACCTTACTATGTCATAATAGCTTATTTGTAATGGTGTGTAACAAAGATCTTAGAAGACTGGACCAAGAGTTATTGCCAAGAGAACAGTCAGATAAAAGGCAGCATAGCTAGATAATGGGTGGGGCAAGAGACTCAAAAGACACCTTCCCTAGTTTCTCAAGTTGTAAAAGATATGAAAGGGACTTTGAATATGGATTTTAAGTTTGCAAAATTCTGTTGGTGTAGCTTTGCAATAAAGTAGAATTAGTTCATACGGTTGTGATTTCTATCTAGTTTATTCCAGGAGGCTAACAACAATCTTGTAAGTATGAAAATCCAGTCCCCCCACATCTCCTTTACAGACTGAAATGCTAAGGAGGGTCCTTCTAGATGTAGAATCTCTTGCCCCACCCACTATCTATAACAATAGCACTTAAACTTATACACCGCTTTATAGTGCTTTACAGCCCTCTCTAAGCAGTTTACAGAGTCAGCATATTGCCCCCAACAATCTGGGTCCTCATTTTACCCACCTCAGAAGGATGGAAGGCTGAATCAATCTAGCTGAAGCTATGCTCTCTATTATCTGATCACATGGCAAATCTCTTTGCCTTGTCTCCCAAGGCCTTTTCCACATACATTATATCCTTGGGGGAGATGAAGAATTAAATTTCTACATAGTAGGAACAAGAGATAAGGAAATGACTGCAGGAATCAATTCTGCTTCTGAAAACACCACTACCAGCACAAGACCTTAAACACAAACACATTGGTTGTGGAATTAGCTGGAGTCTCAAAGATTTTGGCCAGTGGAAAACTTGGAGCAGAAGCTATAGTCACTGTTGGGAAGCTGTGCTTGTTTGCAAAATGGCTGTCAGGATGACTTAGCCAAAGAAGACCAGGAGGTGCAGCCTGGGAAGAAAGTTATCTCTATCACCAGTGTGCCCATAGACATGACACAGGAAATCTCAGACAATAGCTTTTGTTGTGGTCTACTAAATTTCATGGTAAGCCAGCTGACATAAGCTGAAAAAGCCTTTAAGCTTTTTCTTTTGGGCCAGTGCCTAGCTTTTTTGTGGCAATTTGCCCAGATTAAAGACCTCATCACAGAAGGCAAAGTCTATTTTTGTGTTCAATCAGTGTTGCTACAAGATGATTGGCAGGAGAAAGCAAACTCCATTGCAGTGAATGGGACTTTTGCTTATTATACTTAGGTGATAACAAGGACTTAGCTGCACTCCCTGGCACCTCATGCCATCACTTTTTCCTTCTATCCATTGGGAAAACCTTCCCTGCTCTGATCTTGCCATTATCTATTGGAAGTTTCTACTCTCAGCCCCAGACAGGGCCATGGGAGAGCTTATTATACTTCTTCCCTTTCTCACGTCTATACCTTTTACTTCATTGTACTCATCTATTTTTTTCTTCTGTTGCAAATTTGATTTTGCCCGTTGTAGAAGGTGTGTCTTGGTAAGTGAGTAAATCACACCAATCTACTACCATGAAGCTATAGGATTCCGGAGGCATGTAGGTGTGTCTCTGAGTATATAAATAAGCAGAAATGTGCTGTACTTCAGAGGCGTGCCAGCGTGATTTTTATAAGACAGCAAAAGGTATGTATTCTTGCATTTTTTAATCAGCAGTGAAAAACTGCTCAGAACTGCAAGACTAGATTTCCTGCTTGCCTTCTGAAGATCAAACTACATATTATATGTAATTGTTTATTTCTGGGCTGTTTTTGACAGTTATCCCCAACAAGAAGTTGCTTCATCCATTCCTCCCCATCTCTCTTTCTGTCAAAGTTACCAAGTCAATTTCTCCCTGCCCCCCAGAACAGAAAGATATGGTATCCTACCTTTAACATGTAGGAAACTGTAGGGATTTCTGTGGGTGGATAGTTAGTAGGAAAGTATTAAAAGTATTGAATCTCCATCATGTCAGCTCCTGATTGCAGCTTCCAAGGCTTATCAGTAATTAGTAGTAACCAACACAAGTATATCAAAATGAACTTTGGCTCTTCCTAATAAATCTGTGGGATTGTACCATAGCATAAAATACCTGAATTTTAATGCCTTTGTGCATTGCATGTCCCTTGAGAATTCATTGTACTATTTAATCCCAGGTAGGTCTGCATAAGGTTGCAGTCTTAATATAACTGTTCAAATTCAACTCTTTGGACTGTGGACTGAGGATTATAGTATTAGATTTCCATCTTCAGCAAGGCAGGAAAGTTGAGGTGCAGAAAGTCAATTTGCTATCTCCCTTACCAAGAAAGTCAGACTTTAGATGACCAATCCTCTGTTGAAATAGAAAGTCTTCCCACTAAGTAGACTTCACTTTTTGTGATGTGAATGAATTGGTTTATTGTACTCAGGAAAAAGTAGTTGGAAATTGATTGAGTTCACTTATCATGTGAATAGTTCTTATGAAGGAAATGGGACAGATTTGTAAAGGAAATAGAATTGTATTTCATGTATATCAAAAAAGTGGCAGGTGAACCACAGGAGATTTTGTTCCATGATTCAAATTGTCAGAACCAGAAAGGAAGATGTGACATGACTAAGATGGTTACTTTAATATAAGAAGAGGGCTGTAGGATTCTTTTTTTAAATAGAATTTTCCAAAGCTATGGCATCATAATACTGTTTAAATATATATTTGCTGTTTTACCAGTCTTTCCTCTCTGGACCTCACAATAAACCTGCCATGTGAGGTTTATTCCACAATGAGAGTTTCACATTAGCTGACACCACCAATTACCCCTCAAATTCTAAAGCAAAATAGTTTTCCTAGTTGTTGATTATCTTCTTGGTCATATTATTTTCTTTATATTTGTAACATTTCTCCATTTCTCTAGGTCTGATATCCCTACTTTTGGCAATTCTTTAGAATTTATATGGTTATAAATAATTCTTTTCATTCAAATGATGTTTCTTCAATTCGTTTGAGTAGCAAGCAGCTGTAATCTGGGCTAATAATTTCACCTAACCCCATTCACCTGGTGCTGATTATCTGTTTGAATAGAGGTTAGGAAAAAAACCATCTAGTATACACCAGGCCCAAATGTCATCCAACTTCAGCAGCAGATTAGTAATGGAGGTTCACAAATTTATAGGAATTAACCCTTCAAATTGCCCCATGTATCTCCATTTAGTAACATTGTGGTCATGCTATGGCTTCCTTGCAAGGAGGTAAAGGAATAGTTTCACTATTTATATTATGCAGACTTAAAAGTTCATGCTCAAAAATGCCATTAGGAGAAGCACTGATGTTGTCCTATTTTACAATCTTTGCTGATAATAGATAATTGATTATATTGGGGCATGTCTAGCATACATAAGGATAGATGCATATTTTTACAAGGGACTTTTGTTTCTAAAACAGGTTTCAAAAAGCACCAGGAAACATGAAGATCAAGCATTTTGCTCTGCTGTGTGTCCTCTTGATGTTCTGTCAACTACTGCAAACTGACAGTGAAACAGTGAAAGAGAGAAAAAGGGAGAGACCGAATAATGGCAGAGGGGGAAGAGCCCAGGCTAGACATAATAACAATCACAAGGGTCAGAGAAACAGAGGACAAAGAGGCTCTCCCACAAAAGGGAAGTTTATAACTAAAGAGAAGGCTGAATGTTCCTGGATTCTGAATGAGAAAGAGACCACTCTGCTAAAGGTAGACTGCAAAAATGGGGAAGATGCCTTCTCCTGTGCTTTTTCTGGCAGCCCATCTACCTGCCCACGGTATGCAGAAAACCGGAAGGTCTTCTGGAAGGAAATCACTCGATCTCTAAAGAAACAGAAGAATCTCTGTAAGGACCCCAAGACTCTTTTAAAATCTAAAGTCTGTAAGACTGGGCCACCTACTGCCCATCTTAGACTGGTTATGGATGCCAAGCCAGAAACCCCAACACCCAAGCAACCAGAGAAAGAATCCAGTGACTGTGTGGAAGATATTGATTATGTGGATCAGAAAAAGGTGGCTGAAGAGTACTGCTCTGAAACGTGGCAAAACATTTGCTACTTCATAGTTTCAATGATACAAGATAAAAAGTGCAATTAGAAAGCCAAGGAAGGTAGAGTTAGTATGGGCACAACTGTCTTGCAAACAGTATCAAGAGCAAACAATATGAATTATTGTCTAGTGCATCCAGTCAAGCTCGTCTTGTGGAAGTATTGTAAATGCAATGTATTTTGTTCTTTTGCTAAAACTGTAACCGTAACTATTAATCCTCTCCACCTGTCACCTGATCCTTCCTTCCTCTGTTTAACTTGGGAGAAAAGTGCCAAATGAAAGGGATTAATCTGATGGAAGGATTGCCAGCAGTTGTTTTCTATGTCATAATATGCAATATGAATACGAAGGCACATTTTATTAGGCCAATTTGATTTTTGCACACCAGTGCCCAAGATATCTAAGAACACTTTATCAAGCAAGAAGAAAAGGAAGTTTGGGTGGTGGTGGTGATATATTGTATTTAGGAAAGGAAGAGTAAAAATGAGCTTTTTCATCAAAGATACAATAAAACTATTTTTCAATGGATTTCAGGGGTGTCTGGCGGTGGGAAAGTTTTAAAAAAGTCAAGATGGGAAAGTTTTTAAAAAGTCAAGATGGAGGCCACAGCTATGCAATCAAAGTCTCATTCCCATTGTGCCAGATGTAAAAGAGGGGCAGGCTTGGATAAAAATGGATTTGTATAGTGAACTATGCAAAAGTTACAAAGATGTGAAAAGTTCCATGCATTGCTTCATTCTTTCCTGTATATTTCTAGCTAAAGTGATTATTTCAGTGCTATGCACTTTTTTTTTTTTACTTTTGAATGTATATTGCTTAAAATAAAGCCTTTTAAAACGGTTCTCTGTGGTTCTGTCTTCTGCTTGCCCCAATTTTCTTTCCTATGTGGGCATAATTTGCACGCAGTCCTAAATGCACTAACTCGGAACTAAATTTTTAGTGAGACTAATGGCCACTATCTACTCACTAGCATTTCAGTCTAGCAAAGGGAATTGAACAGCATAGAGAATTTGGGGGGAGAGAAATCCATGGGACAGAAACTGGCAATATTAACGTAGAAATCAACTGCTCTAACTGCTGTGCAAAATTTGCCTCCTCCCAATTTTGTTAAATAGGATCACTATTTTAATGGGTAGGGCAGAATGGAGGTTCTGAAAGGCCCCATAGTCTTGAATAGATTCAAGACTGTGGGTGGAGGGAACAGAGTTGGAAGGACCTTGGAGGCCTTTTAGTCCAACCCACTCCTCAAGCAGGAAACTGTATTAGCAAGCCTTCAGAAAAAAGTTACTTTTATATTTTCTTTTTAAATAAACATCTGACAGCAGATATCATTATAAATAGCAGGCTTTGTTTTTAAGTAAGAGGATTTGCCTTTGATCTGAGTACTCTGAACTCACCTCATTTAATCATTTGTTTTTTTAATATCATTTTTAATGTCAACACCTGCACCCGCAGCGCCCGCAGGCTGTCAAGTATAAGCTCTTTTAAAGATATAAAACAGGGGTGTCAAACTCAAGGCCCAGGGGCCAGATTCGGCCCACTGGGTGATTAGATCTGGCCTGCAGGGCCACCCTGGAAACGGTGAAAGACTGGCCTGCGGTGCCTCTGCTGGCAAAAACAGAACTCGGGTGGGCTGCACACAGCCCTCTTGAGCTCTGTTTTCACTGGCAGAGGGTTACTTACAAGAGGCCGTTGCAGCCGAAAATGGAGCTCAGGAGCCTGTTTTCTCTGGCAGAGGGCTTGGGCCACCACAGGCACCCCTGACACGAGTGATGTTGAGCTGACCACACCCACTCTGGCCACACCCACTCTGGCCCTCTGAGGTAAAATACAATCCTGAGGCGGCCTTCAATGAAATTAAGTTTGACACCCCTGATATAAAACATCTTTAATCACTCCAACAACCAAGAGTCATATAGGCTTGATACAACAACATGTGGTCCCAAATAAATTTTGTTAGTGCAATAAAATTAATTTTAGAACACCTTCAGCTACTAATTCAGATTTCCAGTCTCTGCAAGGTGGAGCTATTCTATCAGCCCCCAAACAAGTCCCATGGCTTTCAATGCATGAACATCGTTTCTTTGGCTCTGTTACAGGTAGAGAGGTAAGACAAAAAAGCTCCGTAAATACTTTGCGGGGTTGTAATCCTGGTCTTTTAACATTTTGTCATGGGTTGTCATTTCTTAGGACATAGAGCATTTTCACAGAATGGCTGGCCTCACTTTTTTCCCCTTGTCCTACACTTTTGCATTTAAGGCATGTGCAGGGAAGTTCAAAATAACCCATCTGTGGCAACTTCCACCTGTGGTCAAGTCTGCCCTCTAGATATTTTTCATCTTGTCTGGCTGGACAGCAGGTAGGAGATCCACCCAATGCTTGTCCATCCAATGGCTGAGCAGCTGGCTACTCAGACTGACACAAAATGCTGATTGCATATATACAACATACTAAGGGATAAATTAGATATAACTCAGACATCACGTTTTCTGATTATAGATACAGCAGCAGGTATTGTGGATGACTGGTATACACTGCAATGCTATCCTTTGCATTGATAGCATCAAGTAAATAGAATAAATGATGTGTGTTGTAACTGAAGCAGATGATGTAGTTCAGTTTTTGGTTTTAATCATAATAAATAAAATTCTTATAAGCAATGCTAATATCCCCACCTCTCAGGATCATCTCACTTGCATGCCATTCAGATTATCCGTCTCTTGCACTTATGAGAGCATTGGTCTCTGTTTTCTTGTCTCCCAGGCTCAATTGCAGACCTCCCTACTTATTTCCCCCCAAGATTTCCCATCAAGACCCAACATTCCTCTTCTCCAGACAACACCCATGAAGTTTCAGGTCCTAACACAGGCCTTGTTTTTCTTTTCTTTTCAGTCACCCCAAGCAGCAGGTTCTTTGCCCCCTCTTGCAGGTTGTGTGTGTATGTGTGTGAATGTGTGGATGGGATGGGTAGATACGATGCCTTTGACGGGTTGACTCATGGCTGGGCAAGTCACTGCAGTTTTTTTGGCAAGATTTTTCTTCCTAGGGCTGAAACAGAGCGATTGGCCAAGGTTACCCAGTTGGCTTCATGCCCAAGGTCAGATTAGAAATCATAGTCTCCCAATTTCTAGCCTACTGTCTTAATCACTACACCAAACTACTCCAAGCTGCCTTCCTGCCTCCCTCCCTCCCTTGGAACATCTAAAAGAAAGAACTGCTGTCTACTCACACTGTCCACATGAAATCAGAAACATGCAAAGGAATACAGCTCACCCAATAGAAGGAAAAAGCTTCATCCTGAAGTAGCGTCAGCTGTCCCACATCTACTTCCAACTGAATTAGAATGAATATTTTAGTAACTTTAGTAAATTTAGTAACTTTAGCTTTTAGCAAAGCTCTTTGGGGAACAGGAAGTTATATCTGTGGACATCATAATGCAGTTTCTTCTAATATTTGCTTCTTTAAAGCTCTATTTGTCCCATTTTCTTCATATCTACATGGTTCCTTGGAGAGGCCATTCTGGCCTTGAATCACATCAAAAGTCTAACAATAGAAAGGTTCTTCTCTCTGTTTCAATCTTGTGAATGAACCATCTAAAGCTTGATGCTGAGAAGATGAGGTCCTTTAAGCCAGTGATCACCAACCAGTGGGCTGGGAATTACTGGTGATCCATGAGAAAATGTTGGTGGTCCGCAGAGAAATGTCACCCCCCCAAACACCCCCCAAAGCAATTAATCCAGGCTGTGTGGGAACATAAGGCTGCGCCCCCCCACCCCATATGGCCCATGGGAACACAAAGCTTGCATTGCTTGCATTGTGAACAACACAAGGTAGTTAGGGGAGGGAGCGGGGGGAACTTGCCCCACTCACCCCACATGCCTGGCCTGGCCACTGGGCTGCTTCTTTCCACTTCTTTCTTCTTGTGCTTCTGGCTGCATGCAAGGAAAGCAGCAAAAGTCTTTCTTTCTCTCCCACAAACTCCACCAGAAATGAGTCTTTGGGACCCTGCAAGGCCTCCTGCTCCACGAGGCTGCACTGGCATGACAAGTCTCACAAAGGCTCATTTCTGGTGGAGTTTGGGGGAGAGAAAGAAAGACTTCTGCTGCTTCTGCTGCTTTCCTTGCATGAAGTCAAAAGTCTCTCTCCCCCACCCCCCGAGAATGGAGCTGGAGATGGTATCCTGCGTCCCAAATAAAGAATGATCATTTGGTAGGAAAATGGGGTGGGGAATTTTCCTGCAGACTTTTGGGGGGATTTTCCCAGGGTCTCTGGTCCACGGGATTTAAAATTATAAGTTTGGTGGTCCCTGAGATCCAAAAGGTTGGTGACCTCTGCTTTAGGCAACCTAATCTAAATTTATTTGTGATATTCTGGGTTCAGGGGTACCAAACAGGTGTACTTTTGATTGCATTGCCATGACCACCATCTTCACTTTTTTTTATCATAACGCAAGGACACCCTTGAATACACCCTTAAGATCTGCCCCTTAAGTCTCTAAGAAAGGCTATGCTGATTTGCAGTACTGCCTTCATCTCTTTTCATGATAGGAAAGACTCTTCTGCACTGCTGCGCTGTTCACTCTATGGCTATGTTTAATGTTAACATTTTAGGGTGTGACCCTTCAATTTTACTGGCTTTAGACTTACCCCACAGCAGCCAGTAAGTAGAGGGTGAAGTTAGGGGGTTGGATAGACTACTGTTGTTATTTTCATCAACAAAGCCCCACACTTATTTAATGCACTTGCTGGGTTTTTCAAAAAAAGTGCTTTATTCATGATGATATAGCAGTTTGTATAATGCCAGATGAGATATTACCTACACTCTGAGCGGGAGTTTCCAAGATGAGGTTGTTACTACCTTGATTCTCTGTGAATATTGATTTCAGCCTAACTGCAAGCCTTGTGGTCCTTGGCGAGCTGTCTCCAAATCCACCTACAACTTTCCATCTTCTTCTTCTCCCATGGAAACCCAGTGTGTACATTTCCATTGCTTTCCTGCTCAACGTTACTCATTCACCTGCTTGGCCCCAGTTCAAACTCCACACCTACCTAAATTGCATAAGAGCCTCCTGGGGATACAGGGTGAGCCAACTCCTCTTTCTCAGGCAGGGCCAATGAACAGCAACCATCCGATATCTCCTCACCGTCTTTGGCCAATCATGGGGGCCATGAATGATGAGCTGCTGCATATAATTTACAATTTCTGTTCATTCATAGGGATGGTCAATGTGTTCAGATCACAAACTGCACGCCCTCCACTAGGTTTACGGTTGGCTGTTGCTGCCAAAGGCATAATAGCTCCGTACTTGCTGTTCTCTTTCAGTTTGGCTTCACGGAGATAAGAGAGTTGTTGGCTTTCTCCAGAGTGACTCTTGATTTTGTAGTAATAAGGAAGTGTTGGATGACTCTGCCCCGGGGAAACTCTTAAAATGACAGGAAATCCATTCATTTCTCCAGACATGCTAATGATGC